ATATATGTATATATGTATATAGCATATATATTTACCTATAAATATGTGTGTGTGCCGAATGCATTTGTTGTTGTTGTTAATGTTAAGTGCCGCCCACGCTGCGCACCAACACAATAAAAAGAACAATAATAATTTTGTTATTTTGTTTTTGTTTTGCGCAAATTTCAACATTCTTTTTTGTTTCGTTTTGCTCTTATTGTTGTTGCACGCTTCGGCTGTCAAAAACTTGTGCATCGATGAATGAATTTGGCGCAAATAATAAATAGTCTGGAACAGCAACAGCAACAAAAAGAAGTGGCCCAAAAACAACAAAAATGTTTGCGCCCATTAATCAAATGTCTAGACAAATTGCAACAACAATTGCACACACACACACGCACACACACACACACAGTAAACAAATGCTGATGAGCTGTTTCTTGCGGCGGAAATAAGGGGCGGAACGGCAGCAACAGCAACAGGAAGAACAACAGTTAATCAAAGTAGCCCATTATGCCTGGCAACATTAGCAGTGAGCAGCGGAAGTGGCAGCAGCAACATTGCTGCAGCAGTCAGAGAACAGCGAATCTATTTTTAGGCAACAATTTCAGACGCGCCTGTTGCTAAGCTCGTGTTGCGAACAGCAGAGGGCAGCCTAAGCTTGCAAACAATGTTGCTGGCCCGAAACACTCACACAGAATGTTGCTAAGGCGTGGCAACAATTGTTGCTAAGCTCGAGCCGGACTGCAGAGGCAAACGGTCAAAGCTTATTGCTAAGGCAACATAACTTGTTGCTATGCAATGTAGAGGCAAACGATTGAAGCTTGTTGCTAAGGCAACATAACATGTTGCTATGCAATGCTGCTAAACGATGTTGATAATGTTTGACATTGTTGCTGTTGTTGACTTGCTAGCGTGGCAACATCTTGGGCCAGCACATGATCGATCTATAGCCTATGCATATATAAAATGAATGTATACATATAATTTATTTACAATTTTTGCGCTGAATTGGCAGGCGAGAAGAAATGTGAAATCAAGCGCAAAAATTGCCGAGCGCCAATTAACGTAAATTTCAATTATATTGTCGGCGCGGGCCCAAAAATAAATGAAATTTTCAAATTGCGCAAGGAATGACAACAAGAAAACTGACTAAAATGGGCATGAATATACATACATACAATATATAMATATGTATATATAGTTTGTTGCCAATACACATGACATATGGCTGGCTTCAAGTGCAGCCTGAGCTTGGCAACATATTTAGCCAAATGCTGCTGCCTTTTGTTGCTCAACAATGTTTGGACTCGAGCTGGAAACCAAAGTCAACTTGTTTTGAGCTACAATTTGGCATACATACATATACATATATACATATATGTATGTGTGTGTCTGTCTGTGTTTTTTGTCTTCTATGATTATTTTTCTATTGTTTGGCTATTTTTTTTTTTTTTTTTTTTTTTTTTTTTTTTTTTTTTTTTTTTTTTTTTTTGTATTTTTGTTGTTTGTATTTTGCTTGCATTTCAATTTTATGTTTCTTTATTTTCGCACGCAAATAAAGCTGGCGCCAAATGAAAAATAAAACAAACAACTACAACTACAACAACGGCAACAACAGCAACAGCAGAGAGTAGAAACAGCAGCAGAAGCAGAGAATTATAATAAGGCCGCGCACACTTGATAAACGTCGCGCGTCGTTAGCGCCACTTATCACGTATACGCCATGTCGGGCAATGCCGCCTCAGCTTGTTTTCAATTTGTTGCTGATGATGTAGTTGTTGTTGTTGCTGTTCGATTACTCTACTACTCTGATTGTTCTCACATACCCTGCCCAGGCGTAACGATTGGGCATATTAGCTGGTACCAATTGTAAAAACAGCCAAAAAGAAAGCTAACTTTCAGCCAACTATCTCTAATGCCAACTGTCCCATATATCACTCTCTGAGAAACCTCTGTGGACGTCTACACAGATTAGATTCACAGCTTCAACTTCACGCATACATATGAATGTGTAGTGACTTATAGGGTATCCTTATAGTCGTTGCGCTTCCTCTTAGCTTGGGGTGGGCGTTTAGACACACCCGCCGTGCCCTTAACTAGTTATTGTATTTGGCTAATTAGGTGTTTGTCATTGCCTCTGATTCAAGACTGAGACTAGCTGACAGGAAAAAAAAAAAACAATGTTAAGAATGAGACAGAGAGAGAGAGAGGCAGCTTGGGCGTTTACACAACACTAATACCCTCTAAGCTTATAATATATATTAGGGCAACAGCAGCAGTCCAAAAACCATTATCATATAATATTTTTATTGCTCTACTCTACTCTACTCACATACCATCTACAAAATACCCTGTAAAAAGCACAAAGCGCACACATTTCAATACAAGCTAAAATGATCCAGCATCAATTGAATTCCAGTTGCTTGGCAGTGTCTAGGGTATTTACTAGTCGTGCGTTTTTATGCTATTGATATGGGGCAACCTCTATAAGCTAGGGTATCCATTAGTGCAGCTTTCTAGAATATTTTTCCCCAGCTTTGATCGCATTTGCTACATAGCTGGTGCAAGTCGAACTTACTTAATAGAAGTGTAGCTTATCTAGGGTATCTGCCGGTCGTATACCTGCATTCGCATTTGCTTGAGTTTTTAAATTTTTTTTTTTTTTTTTTTGGCTTTTTTTTTTTTGCTATTTTTATGGGTTGTTCGGCGGCATCGTTCGATGTGTGGCGCCAAAGAGTTTAAAGTTTTAGCATTTGTAATTTAGCCTTTTCCCCATGCTTATTTATTTATCGGCCTTTTTGTTGTTGCTATTTTGTGGCTGTGGCTCTGTGGGTAATTAAAATATATTAATAATTAAACGTGCTGCGCCGATTTGCATAACGATTTTAGTGGCTCGGCCAATTAACAGCAACAACAACAACAACAAGCAGAGGGGAAAAAAGCCGCTAAAGAAAAAATTTTGACACTTGTTGGCGCCAGTTGCAGCTGAAAAATATCTAAAGAAAAGGCTTAGCTAAAAAACACTTGGCAACAGTTACTGTTTCGTTTAGCTACTTTTTTAGCCTTTACCAGCCGAGTTCTTTTAGCTTTTATTTTGGCTTACGCTGGAAAATGGCTAAATAAAAGTTTCTATTGAGCTCTATTAGCTGTTTTTGTTGTTAGCTGATCAAAATTGTCTTTGCTGCCATTAGCCGCTTTTGGCATTTCTTTTTAGCGCTTTTCCCGCTACTTTGCGCATTTGATGATTGAAAACGTTTGCCGGAAGCGCCGCCAATGCTGGCGCCAGCCACATTTGCCTCCGCTAGACGACACCATTTGCCCCGGCCACGCCCCCTCGCCCACAATCCTGGCACCCGGGCTATATATAGGCTATAGACAAAGCGCTCAGGCATTGACTAATTTCAAATATGGGCAAATGCAATTAGCTGGCGCCACAAGTCCCGCAGCCAAATCGGCAGAGCCAAAATACCTATCTCTCTCTATATACCTCTATATATATATACATATA